CTGTAGTAGAGTTTTTTCGCGAGCACCTTATCACACCGCTTACTTCTGAGGTGGAAATGAACGAAACACTAATGTTTTCCTTACGCGATACTGAGCTGTTCACTCTAAAGCCTGATAGCCCCGTACCAAGATTACGGGAGGAACTCGAAGCTGCCATACCACAGACTGTTCCAAGGTGGGGTTTTTTATGGAATTTTTACCTTGTTTTCTAGAGTGCAGAATGTACGAGTCTATATTATGTTCAACTTTTTTAAGGTTCACTTTGTCACTGCTGTTAAAACCACATATGAAGGTCCGCTTACGACTAGGTTTTCTGCCATCGGACTACACTCTTCGATCATCTCTGTTACTCATTAGGTTTGCGTTAACCTCCAGCTTGAGTTAGAACTATTTTCGAATCCTATTCCGTTTTCAATTATCAGTTAGTCTCCTTTATGACGAAAAAGTTGCTTTTTCTTTAATTGAGCCAATTCATTGTTAAGGAACAATTTGACGGTGATTGAACCCGTTGTGGTGTATGGCAGAGGGGCACGAATCGGTATGCGTGTGGAAAATATGGAAGCACGCTCAAAACAACCTCTACTTTTTGAAATTCGTCATGATCATCTGAGCGACTGCAACAATCCCAAACGTGAGTACGAATACTTTCATGTTACAGGCTCTCACAAATTCATACTTCTAGCGCCAGAATTTCTTTGACGAAGCATTTTTTTCTCGGCTGTACTTTACTAATCGGTCAAAAAATTTCGACGTGTTGAGCTCCGCCCCAACATACGTATTGCAAACCATTTACTAATTTTGACTGCAAGGCGTGCAACTGCCTCTAGTTTGTATTACTTACTTTGTTTTTCGTTCAGCATTACTGTTACACTTAGAAAATGACTAGAAGAGCAGAAGTCCTTCAAGTTTCTGTGAGGCAGCCGTGAACATGAACGAATTTGTCATAAAATTCACGGCTATCTCAATAAAATTCGAGGCCACACATTGTATGATCTTCTCAATAATGCATTGACTTGTAAATTCTGTAACGTTGAGCGGATGAGAGGACCCCGCTGCACCTCATACTTCAAGACACATTTTTTTATGTAGTTACAGTTGGACATGGTTATGGACGACTTTTGCCATTCCCCTCAGGAAGTATGCGAACATCAGAGGCCGTCAATCTCCTACCTTAGAACTAAGGTTGGCGGGCGTTTGCGATGTATTTCCGAATTCTCTGATCTCGGCTAGCGAGTATGCCCTGCTCTCCGCTTTTCGTTAGGCAAATCTTCTTCTGTTTCTCGCATACATCGCTAGCTCGGAACGTGAGCTGTGAGTTTCCTGAGCTGGGCCGCTGCGGTGGTGTCAGCTCGAGAGGTTCGAGAGGCACCGCTCTTCCGTGACCTGAGTGTGCGGGTGTTCAGCTGTTCCAGCTCGTTAAGTGCTTGCTATAAATTCGTTAACGATGATGTTGAGAAAGCTAGCGCTATTTCGTGCGAACTTGCGACGGGCGTTTTTATGTGGATTGGATAAAGTTCGCAGCTCGAGTTTGTACGTAGGCGACAAAGATTTTCGGAGCTGGAGCGAGCTCTTCATCGCAGACGTACATTCGTTGCCGGATTTGCTTACGCATCGATCTTTGTGGCTAGTGTCTTGACGGGAGCATCCAAAATTCGAGCAGAGCAGCTACTGCATGATCTAAAGGACGTCTTAAATTTCGTAAACGGCGTGTGCGTTTTGGCCGTTGTACTCGCTCTTCTTGGTTTTCGCAGTCGACTCGAATGCAAGCGTTTCATTGAGCGCGCAGGCAGAAACGGTCCACGTGCATCCAGAGCGTACCGCATACATTTATACGCGGATGCGTTTGATAGTGAGTGGAGAGGTGGTGCGAATCGATTCAGCACTGTATATTGGGAGTTATTTCCTGGATTCACCTGTGTCTCATCCTGGCTTTGGCCATTGTCTGCGATTTACCCGATCCCCCACTTGGGGTGGCGCCACGGAGCCTATCCCGAGATCTTTGGCGAAAGGACATTCGGTGAAAAAGATTTCTGGAAATCCTGGATGGCTCGAATCAGTTTAGAAGATCTTGCGGACGCAAGAGCGTCTTGATGAATGCAGCGCTACCTCTGATGAAACCAAATAACTTGGTAAGGGTTTTGTACGGATCAGAAAGTCATGGATCCCAGCTAGTCTGGTACACGGGTTTGTGTCACGGTTTTGCTCCCGTCGGAGATCTTAGACCTGTTATCTATGAGTTGAGCGTTCCTGTTGTGACTGAATGGAATTGCCTTATTTCTTTACTCTCATTAACGAGCTAAGATTGATCCTAGTTTCCATTCTGATCATGACCAGTCATGTTTTGATGTTGAGGGAGACTGATTCCGTCTTTTCGGAGCATATGACAGAGCGTCTGAAGCAAGTCTTACATTTCAGGTTTGATGCATAAACTCAGTTCTACACTCACAGTTCGTCGTCCGTTTTCGGTGATGAACTCAGGAGAGGTGCCGTTTACTGTGGTTAACATGAGTATCAACGGTGTGCCCTGTGAAAACCGTGGTTTTCGCATCCTCAACTGCTATCCGTTTCGTCTCCAACCGAATGAGACCTATTCTCTTGATGTCGCGTATGTTTACACAAATTCACGAATTCTTTCACAATCACAGAATTGAAGCTTTTTAATTTTTTTGGCTTTCCAGATACACACCAGACTTTCTGACTACTACAAATGAGGCGGATCTTCAGCTTTACATGCATATGAATGGCAGCTCATGGTTA